ATTAAGTTTGATTCTTCTAATGCTCATAGGATCAAAGAGATTTTCTGGCACTCCCCTTAAATTTATTAGGTCGAGTGTAACAAATGGAAGTATCCTCGGCAGCCTAGGTTTTCTACCTTAGGCAGATATCTTTAGAGATACTTTTGTTGCTTCTGCTCAAAACATTAGCGTCACTATTGATATTTTCTCATACCAAAAGCACCACTAATCATATAATTTTCTTCACAATTATTATATTTTCTCTATCTTTCTTTTATAACCAAAAAAAATATGAATGGAATTACAGTGGATCTTGCATGACTGGAATGACAAGGAATGTGTGAGTATTTTGAAGAAATGTAAGGAATCATTGGAGAAGAAAGGTAAAGAAGGAAAGGTTATTATCATAGATATAGTGGTGGACAATCAACACACTAATGAAAAATTTGAAACACAACTCTTCTTTGATATGTTGATGATGGTAATCCAAACTGGAAAAGAGAGAACTGAGAAAGAATGGGTTAAGTTGATTTTATCGGCTGGTTTCAGTGACTATAAAATAACCCCAATTTTAGGTTTAAGGTCCATGATTGAGATCTATCCTTAAAAAATATAAGTCAATTGTTGTCAGCATTGAAAGTGGAGTCACATTATCGTATGATATCACTTACTTGTTTTAATGTTTTTATAAATTTGAATTAAGTTGTTATAATTTGTTTGTGTATTTGTAATTTGCTTATCATTTAATATTCGAGTTTTATTTATAATTTTCACTTTATTCGCATTCAAGTTTTACTGTTATTGTTTCGACTATTTAGAGATTGTACCATTAAGACCCCTCATTACTCAATCTAATTAAAGTGTTTGATCACGGATAATTGTTACACCTTAAATTTTATCTTTAATATTTTTTATTTATTAACCACGTCTAGTCCATTTGCATCATCATCATAACATGACCAATTATTTGGTCACTCGTTACGTCTGCATTATTAGTGTGTTGATAAGTTAGATGTAATTTTAGAATAAAAAGCAGGCTTCCTTTTGCATCTATGCATTTTAATTTGTCTTACAGCTTCATTGGCCATTTAATCTTCATCATTTTGATTTCCATTCTCATTTGAAATGGAGCTTAAATGAACTTAAACCAACTCTTTTGATATCATTAGCTCCATATTGGTGATATTGGTGATTGTTCTCTAATTTGAAAACCAAGTGGTTTCTTAAGCTCATACCGATTTCATTTGTTTTGATGGACAATAACTTTAAGTAAGCCTTTATTACACTACAACAAAAATGACTTTTGGCAACAACTCAAAACCGCAGCCTAAGGTGCAATAACCGTAGCCTAAGGCTTTAGGGGGCGGTTTATCAGACGTGGAATAAACAGTTGTTGCCTATTCCTTTAGAGCGCGGTTTTTTTATTTTTAACCACGGATTCAAAACACCGCTGCCTAACTCATCAAATTCTACGGTTTTAGTTGTAGTTTTAGACCGCGGTTTTCTAGTAACAACACAAAATAACCGTCCCCAAAACATGAATATACAATGGTTATAGAAAAACAACAAATGAAAACCGTAGCTAGTTTATAATTTCATTTAAAGAACCGCGCCTAAAACTTAGGAAAATTCCACGGTTTTTAATAAGCAACCCTTAAAAAGTGTTGCCTATAAATTGAAAAATTGAAAAATATTTGGTAATTCTAACATTGGCTTCGCTGTTGAGGATTATAGACACTGATCTTGGCACGTACTTCCCTGATAAGGCATGTAATAGAAATGAAACATAGGTTAGGAAAGTATATAAAAAAGTTATAATAATTGAATTTGGTTGTGGAGCTTTTTATTATTGCATTGAAATCTGAAAGTACCTTCTGGTGATTCCACGTATAACTCAGCACCTTGTGCAAGAATCAATCCTCCTTTTTCAAAATCAAAATCCAAATCATACTTTTCTTCAATTGGCAACATGTGAGTGTGAATCTTCCAACAGCAAGACATAGTAAAATTAATACAGGCTCGGTAAAAAAAACTATGCAATCATTAGTGAAGTTAGAGCCAATGAAGTGAAGCTGAACCTGAGTGGTGTCTTGCACCCCACAGTTTGTAATCCTAAATGAGTGAACTACCTAGTTTAGATAGAAAGCCTCCTCAGATTTCCATAGAGGCAAGCTGTAACGCCCCTTTCTATACCCCCAAATAACACAATTAAATCATTTAGGTACGAATTAAAAATTCCATCAGAGTATATTTATTTCATGGTATAAAAGAAGTGCGTCACATTACTCATGAAACGACCACATGAATATTACTGTTTATAAAGAAATAATTCAAAAGGGGTAAATCTCAACTAAAAAGAATAAACGCATGGTTCTTAAAATAAGCATATTCATGTTTTCTGTTAAAGCGGAAGACTAAAACATTGAATTACTTAAGACATGATAAAATACAAGTACACGTCATTAGGTTGTTCATAACATCAATCACAGTTTACCAGACATCATCAACTATTACATATTTATAATGTATCACGAAGATACTCTACAATCCTAGCTACCCGACGTTACATATCAGAGCGACCGACTCAAGAGAAAAGGAGCTATACTCCAAAATGCACCTCCAGCAATCCTAATCTGCAATGCCTCATAGAGCATCATAAAACAGCAGAAGAGTGAGAAATATTACCATAATAACAATGCATATAATTATGTATATAAACAATCATAAAATACATATATGCCACATTTCTCAATCAATTCACACACTCACCACTCCCACATCAACATATCGTGTATATATATATATATATATATATATATATATATATATATATATATATATATATATATATATATATATATATATATATATATATATATATATATATATATATATATATATATATATATATATATATATATATATATATATATATATATATATATATATATATATATATATATATATATATATATATATATATATATATATATATATATATATATATATATATATATATATATATATATATATATATATATATATATATATATATATATATATATATATATATATATATATATATATATATATATATATATACATATGCACACTTCTCCTAGCAATCACATATACATTATGTTTCATTTACCGCAATTCACATTAATTCACATAACATACACATTAACTCAATAAACACACACAACATGTTTACTCCATTGCTAATTCACATAAACACCTACATTCATGTTTATTTCACCAATGCATCATATGAAGATGACAACATGCAACTCATAGAGACCGACACACGACTCTATGCAGATGCAAATGCGGTACCGACTCATTTCAGCAGGTTCAATTGAAGAACCAAAAATAACCATCGCTCACACCCCACAAGGGCACACGAGGTTCTGCAGATTCTCCGAGGAATCAATATAACCATCGCAACTTACGAGGTTCTGCAGATTCTCCGAGGAATCAATATAACCATCACAACATACGAGGTTCTGCAGATTCTCCGAGGAATCAATATAACCATCACAACATACGAGGTTCTGCAAATCCTCCGAGGGATGAATAAATAACCATCGCTCACACCCCACAAGGGCACACGAGGTTCTGCAAATTCTCCGAGGAATCAATATAACCATCGCAACATACGAGGTTCTGCAGATTCTCCGAGGAATCAGACACACAAGAATGCATACCATGATGCTTCACATGCAACATGACTCATGAAACTCTTGAAATGCACACATGTTTACAAACATACTCATGCATTCATCATGTTAATCGCATATATTCATTATGCACTCACAATATTTAAACATGGTTCACATTTACAATCATCATACATCACATATGAGCAATATGCACTTGCAAATATCGTGCCAAACGGCAATAGACTCAATCACATCCATCATGCATTTTCAATCAATTTAAACAATGCGTCACATATGCCAAAAGGCCACATATTCACAATCAATTCATAATCTAGGATTCACGCCATACGGCTACCCACAACACACATAACAACATGTAATTAGTCATCTCAGACAAGGAATGATCGCAACCAAACCACACAATCAATCCATGAATGGAAAGCACAAGAAAAGAAAATATGCTGCTGTGTTCACTAACCTTCGCCTGGCGAAGCCCCTGGCGAACCTTCGCTACCCGTTCGCCTGGCGAACTTGGCAGCGAAGTCCACTGGGATTTATTCTGGAATTACTCGCTAGAACACTCGCCTGGCGAACCTTCGCCACACTCATTCGCCTGGCAAACTTGCCAACGAAGACAGGGTGTTTGGTTATGGCTTGATTCGCTACCGTTCGCTGGGCTTCGCATGGCAAAGCCTCGCTGCCATTCGCCTGGCGAACCTGCGAGATCAGAACTTCCATGGCTGTTCAAAAGCCCAAACCTCACAAAACCAACCAATTTAATCCAAATTTGTTCCAGTAGCACGACCCACTCATCACCCGACTATACTACACCGTCTATTCCAAATTCTAACCGATAAAACTCAGTTTCTACCGATTAAACTCATTTCGACCTAAAATGGAAAATGTAGGAAACACCCAACAAATCCAAACACACACATACATAATCATACACATTGATTAAGATAGTAAGATTTCACACCCTTACCTCGATTAATCGGAAGCTATAAGTCGTTCTTGAGCTTTTCCGAGCTTTTCCTTCTTTTTCCTTCTACTTTCTCTTCTTCCTCCACTTTCCTTTCATGTTTTCTATTATCCATTGTTGTTCCTCTTCCCCCATATATATATGTCCTGCCTTCCTATTTCTCTCCAATTGTATTTCTTCTCTTAAAATATTTGTCAATTCATTTTCTCATAAAATATCTCATCTTGATATTGGTTAGAAAACATCTGATAAATCCTCATGATTCTACCAATTAGAATAAATCAGTTAAATCCAATAATTCACTTTAAACCATACAAACCAACTAACTAGTACAATTAATCAGTTATTAAAAATCGGGCTGTTACACAAGCCTTCTCTTAAAGCAGCCTCATCGATTTGGATGACGGTAATGCCAGCTTTCTCAAGATCCTCAACCTCATCCTTATAGCCAAAGCAATCTGGTAGCAAGTCTCAAACCTAATAATAAATAGACAATATTAAATGAAACTGATATACTGCAAAATGATCATCATTTATAAGGTGATTTTGCATACCTAGGTTGGTCATCTCTAACAAAGGGCCAGTTCAGAATAGTAACAGGGCCAGTAAGCATTCCCTTCATAAGTCGTTTTGTCAAACTTTGAGCTGTCGAAGACCAGAAAACAGTCATTGGCTTGGGACGGCTCACATCACCATAGATAATCAGTGGCTTGACACAGCGGGATCCATAGGATTGCACCCACCCGTTGGCAGTGAAAGCAAAGCCAGATAATTGTTCTCCAAAGTACTCAACCATGTCATTCCTCTGAATTGGCACAAAAAAAAATCAACTTATAAATATTTATAATTTTAAACTGTATTTTCACACAAGAAATAAGCCTCCATTAAACCACTAAATAAATAACATATATCAGCTCCATAACTCGGGCTCTCCATGCACCAAGACATAAATTTCGAGCTCTTCCTGGATCTTAACAACATTAATAATTTCCTTTTTAATGAAATTGATATAATCCTCATCGGAGATCCTATTCATAAAGTGACATATAGCAGGTTAAGTGTTAAAATGTGATAATCATGGAATATGGTAGATAGCTGAAGAAAAAGAAGACTTTTGCTTACTTTTTATCCTTGAACTCACGGCGAACCCTTCTAAGATCTGCAGTCTGAGGGAAAGATCCAATTGTAGTGGTTGGAAGAATAGGAAGATTCAATTTCTTCTGTTGTGCACTTAATCTGGAACTAACATTAATGGCCCTACGGTGATCAGAGCCCTTAAGAGCAGCAGCCTGAGAAAAGAAATCAACATTTAAGAGTAATCCAACTAGCTTATAATTTATCAAATACAGGAATACATAATTGAAATCCAGAAGAGCACTAACAGCCTTTTGGACAGCCTCATTTGTCACCCTTGGGGAGGACTTCCTTGAAGCCAAAGCGGAAGCATTGGAATAAACGTAAGTCTGCGAAACAACACGCATTAAGAAGCTGAAAAATAATGAGTATGAGTCAAAACATCCTTAGAGTGTATGATGTACCTCATCCTTTTGTCCAGACAATGCCTTGGCCAAGGCATTTACTTCAACTATTTTCTGTGCTGCAAATGCAAGCCAAGACATAATCTCTTGGTCCAGCTTCGTCTCATTCACCAGATCAACTGCAGTGTGAAGAAGAGAACAGGATGTGGAAACCACAACTTTCCCTGCAGAAGAAAATTATAATTCACATTTAGATTGTTACACGTTGAATATATACATGCACCAACAGAAAAAAGACATTAAATATTAAATTCCCTTTCCAACAATGTCCCCAAGTGTCTGCAAGGTGTTTAGCGAAGATTCAAGATTATTAGCCCAAATATTTCTTCCATCAATAACACCGGCAAAAAGAAGTTTTCCAGATGGAAATTCTTGCTTGATCAAATCAAGGGTCTTTGTTCCACGAACAAGGTCAAACCCATATGCAGTAACAACCTTCAAAAAGGTGAGTGTTTTGTACGCTTCAGCTGGGACATCAACAAAGTATGTCTCAATCAGAACATCCAAACCAGATAAAGTAGATTCTAGCTCTGCATAAGCATAATCAAATGCTTGTAACTGGTGAGCATCCAGATCCTTGACAAGGGTAGGTTCATCAAATTGAATCCAAGTAGCACCAGCCGCCTTCAGTTCCGTCACCACTTGCCTATGAAAAATTACAGTATGATTAAAATTTTAAACAACTTAAATTCATGATTCAAAAACACATCACTACATTAAGGCCTTACTTGTATACAGGAAGGATCTTGTCAATTAGGGAAAGAAGGGAAAATGACTTTTCAACACCCTTAGATGGTTTTGACAGCAACAAGAAGGATACTAGCCCCACAAGTACAGGTACGGTATTCACTCCTAGCTGCATAGAACAAGAATACATTGTATAAACATCATTCACTACTATAACAGAAAAATCCAATCATAGCTTACTATAACAAAAAAAAATCAAAATCGAGAGTTTGAGTATAATGACAGAAACTTAAAAAAAACACACAACAACATACGTTTTTCACTGGAACCTCAAACTCAATACACGTGTAATCGTAATTAAATCGAAAAATGCTATGCTAATTAACCACAAAAATCTCATAAAAAATAAGTTTTAAAACTGAGTATTATCACTCTGCAAAATTATCTTAAAACAGAAGGTGAGATATCATTAATCATAGCCCAAATCATAAACCAGGAACATTAACAAACAACCAGAATTGATCTTAAATTAATAGCTAATGTTACCACAATGTGTGATTCACGTATATACAAGAAATAGTGCAACAACCTCAAAACAACCAGCATAAACAATAATAACCGACATCATAATCAAATAAACAAAAGCGTCAGCAACAACATTGAAACAGAAGCATAAACGAAAGCAAATAAAACCAACCGAAGGCGAAAAACGACTTTTTTGCAGTCTGCACCGAGTTGGTTGTCGACTGCAGTTGTCCTAAGTTGTTATGAGCTGAAATCTAAAGCCTCTGTTGTGGCTTAACATAGCTGCTATACATGCCAAGTTAATGGCTTCAAACTAAGCTGCCGTAGAGACCGAAGATTTGTCTATGTTATTGAATAATGAGGACCACAGCCGAGTTTATGAGAAATGAAATGAATTGAGATGTTTCTGCCGTTGTCTTGAAACTCAACAACAACAGTAGTAACAACTTCCCTCTGCTCAAGAGTCTCCCCAATGCAAGCGATAACTTTCCTCCCTAGTGAGAGTGCATATGCAACTTTGTCTCCCACAAACTGTAGCATAGAATAAATCAGTAGAAAATCGAAAGTTTTGATAGTAGAATTTAATCTTCAGCAAATACAACTATGGAAAGTAGAAGTTATAACACAATTAGTACAATATAAGTCTACAAACATTTTGCACCAGGCACACGTATAAGAAAAATCTCAAAATACACATCAGATACAACACAACAATGGTAAACTTGAAGAAAGAGTTCAATTCAGTAAGTGGCTTATGAGGACTATGACCAGAAATAAAACATCTTCTATGAAAATTGTACAAGAGTTTTGTCTGTCACAGAGAAACACAATTCTCTTTTCCTGTAGTAAAGATATGAGGTATGCCGCCAAATAATTTTTGTATGAGAAAATCTTTGAAAGCCACAGATTGCGTGTGAAAACAAAGGGTATCTAACTGAACCACCTAATAAAGATGATGATAATTTTTTCTATTCGATCTTATGCTATAAAATAACACAACCACATCTTTGTTGTGTTGCGTTGCTTGCGGCCTTCTTCTCTGTATAAGCAGAAAATACCAACAATGTAAAAATGTGTCAGAATGTAAACTAAAGAAGACGAAGATAGGTAGAGTATTATTTGGACACAACTTTGACATCAAATTAGATGGTTAACATAATTCATATGTGGTTAACGCAGTTCAATTCATGTAATAAATCTAACAAGGTATTGCAACTCATTAACCATCAACTAAACACAATTAACCACGATTATGAATATCATTTACCATGATTTGCAAGTGCTCAAATATACACATATACCTTTCGTTAATTGTGTTGAGTATGTGATTGATGAACTACAACACCTTTTTTATATTCATTAACCATCAATTGGACTTTGTTAATCACATATTTGGATTGCTTTAACCATATAATTTGATGTCAAAATTGTGTCCGAATAAAGAAAAAAGGGATGACTTTTCTATGACAACTTTTATAGGATGATACCTCATAATTAATCTGTCAATCAAGGGCAGGTCTTAACAGTTATGAAACACTTATGTTATGCAATATTTACTAGCAAAGTCAAACCTAACAATCACTTGATAAAAAAGGACTGCATACATAGGTATTTGAATCAACTTAAATCTATAAGTATAACAATTTTGCTGATATTGGATGATGGATTACGGCGGCCGACCAAAAATCATTCATATATACATGGTGCTGCGTCCTATGCCGTGGCCTATGGCGACTGGCATAAAATCCTCCATGAAATAACGCCTTCTATTTACCCGCCCAACCGACATAAATTTGACAGAAATAACGCCTTCCTCTCTTGAGGCATGAACACAAAGTTTCTTACCCAAAACAAGAATAATAACAAAGCTCCATCACAATTCTGACATAGACAATTCGCTATTAAGCTGAAAAAAACTAAAGCGAAATCATAAAAACACAACTAACCTTTGGCCATTGAGCAAGAATACTTTCTTTCAATGTTGCAATACTAGTAGCAGCTGGAAAACTTTTCGGGCCAATATCAGAACCATCTGTCAACCTAAACTTGATCTCAAACTGCTCTTGGTTCCCGGTCATGCTCAGGGATCCAAGAAATTTGTAAAGATTCCAAAGACCAGAGACAGGTTTTCCTATGAAACACTTCAACTCACTTTAATTACTAAATAGTAGATTACAACTTATCACCACTCTTGAATTTTTCTGCAAAAATAACACACCAACAAAAGTTTAACCAAGAGTTATCAAACACACAAGTTTTATATAAAACCAACAAGATGCAGAATCTATTAAACAAAACCATATCAATCATACAAGTTTCAAACACACAAGTTTTATATAAAACAACAAGATGCAAAATCTATTAAACAAAACCACACTGTATTTCTCCTCAACGCCATCACCCTTTGTTCTTGGTTCCTACCACCAGCACAACAATTTCACATTCATTTAACGCATCTGATAGAACCCGAATGTTTCGAAATTCACAAACCCTAAATTAAAAACCAGAACTTACTTCACCACGATTCCCTCGGAAGCCATTTCTGAATCATCCATCCTCGTTCCAACTTCCTACTGCAACCGTGAATTGAAAAATTCACGGAATTTATTTTCAACTTGCATCAGAAACTTCAACTTTGAGTCGCAACACTGAGAGCTTTTAAGAGATTTTCGGGGGAAAATCGGGGTTTTGAACAAGTTTGGAAAATGAGGCGGAGTGCAACCGATTATCGGAGACTAGTGCGGAGAAGGGTTCCTGATGCATTGTGGTTGGCAGTGGCGTGCAGAGAGATGAAAAAGTTAGGGTTTAAACAACCCCCAATTTCAAGTTTTAGAACTTATTAATTAATTAATAACTTTCGAATTAAAATTAAAATCATATGGTGTTATTGTTCTAGTGGTAATGAGTTCTTTCTACATAGCAAGGTATTTGGGTTCAAGTCCTAGTTTTGCCATTTTTCTTAAATTAATTTTTCAATCATATTTTCAAGTTTGAGTTAGAGCACTTCAAGGACAGGGGTTCGATCCCCACTCTGTCCATTTAAATGCGAATAATTAACATTAAATTTTAAAAAATAGAAATAAAAAATACCACACTTCAAAAGCGTTGCAAAAAAGAAATAAGTTACGGTTATACTATAACCACATTTTCAAAACCGTAGCATATAATAAATAAGGGACGGTTTTGAAAAAAAAGCGGCAACACGTAAAAACGCGTAGCCTATGTTACTTATAGGGACGGTTTTACAGTCGTTGTCTATTCCTCCGTTGCCTAAAGTCATTTTTGTTGTAGTGTTAGAGCACATCCATACTTCATTGAATTTTGTTTGGTGAGATTAAAAGTTTTTTTAGGAAAAATAATTTTGTTCATTATAAAGAACCATGCCACATTCATTCTCATGCTCTTATAACATAAAGCCAAATGTTGATAAGCATCAAAAGCTGCAATTTTTCCTTTTATGCATCATAATACCTCACTATGTCATGCAATTTGATATTGTATTGTAATTAGAAAAAGTAAATATGTTGTGAAGTTTTGCATCAAGAGAACCAAAAGACAAGTTTTTTGTCCATCCCACATAGACTTAGTTTTTGCAAATGAAAAAAAAGAGAATTAATTTTTCATTTGATATCGAGTTAGACTATTTCTGAGGTACCATTACAGGTAATTATCACCCTGAGCCGAACGACATGAATTCTAACGAGATACATAATCCTGCACTCCGCTACTTCCATAGGATATTACCCCATACCATCTTTGGGAAGGAGGAAAACGTTACTGCAGTTTCTAAGGAAGAGCTGTTTATCCTGTACTGTGCATCACAAGGTTGTCCCGTCAATGCCGTACCATTTATGATGAGAACCTTCGAA